GCATAAGGAGGAGGAGGACCAGCAGCAGCCAAGAACCACTCAACACCCAGAAGAAGAAAAAAATATTGCAATAATTCACCATGATGGAAGAGAGAAGTGGCCCCAACAATTAGGCCATGACCCCCTAATGGACCACAAGCACTAGAGACCCGTCTACCCCACAGTGATTGAGGCCCTCGTCTCGTGCCGCCAGGGGGCTCTTGGAGGAACAGCAGAGGCCCCAAAAACTTAATGAAAGAAGCGGTACTCCAGGGAAGACACACGACCCCAGTGAAGGCGTAGGACCCAAGGGTAGGTGCAGGACCCTAAGGAAAGCGCAGGACCCCAAGGGGAGTGCGACAGGACGTGTGCTGGGACAACAGAGTGAGGTGTCCCTCTGAGGCCCCGCTGGTGGGGTTTTTGCTGGGGCGGGCATGAATCATCATGGTGACAGGCAGTGTGGTCCAGCCCCGCCATACCCCACACCTTTCAACGCGCGCGAACGCGTGCACACGCACACGTGAAGCCTTATAACAACCTCCAGACCCACCTCCATCAACAACAGCAGCTGTGAGATTGATGGTCCAGAAGACGTGTTGGGAGGAGGGGTGTTAGGCTCAAAGGTGGGAGTAGAAAGGTTGACATAAAAGAGGGTAGCAGGAGGAAGATGGAAAGATAAATGAAGGGAAGGAAGGGTGGGTAGGGAGGAAAGGATAAGAAGGAGGAGGAGGGAACATGTTAGTATAGGCTCAAATGTGGACGAAAGGGAAAAGACCTCAAGGAGGGATATGAGAATGAAAATAGGGTAGAAGGAATGAAGGAGAAAAGGTAGACTCCACTGAGGGGTAAGAAGACTGAGACGTGTAAAGACTGTGTCACAGTTCTTGGCAAGATGTACAACGTAGGAAAACTACCACGAACAGGATTGAGGCTACGGCGCTAAGCTAAACCATTTCATGAACTCAGACGACACGAACCAAGCAAACTTAATTAAACCAAACCAAACTATATCAAAGTAAATCAAACTAAAATTAACCAATCAAGACCTAACAAGCAAACAGACGTAATAATAGGTTTACTTAAAGCTGAAACAGAGATATAAGCCAAAATGGGGTTTAAATCACATTAGGACTCGACTAGAACAACACGTATTTTCCTCCTCTCTCGAGTTAAGTGACAAAAATAAGTTACGAATGTTTCAGAATCAAGGGCCTCCATGGGTGTATCTGTCCACCTAACTTGTGCTAAATGAACGTAGTTTCTTGCGGGTAAAGTCTCAGTTTAGTTTGGAAGCCATTTTGAACTTCATTCTGGTGTCTAATTGAATCTCATGAAAATTAACAACCCCGTTTATATCACCTGATTATCTAAACACCTTAATGCTAACTTAACCAAACCATAACCTAAACTAACTTAACCTAACACAACATAATCTAACTTAACCTAACACAATCTAACCTAACGTAGCCTAACCCAACTTAACACCCTGCCCATTTAAGTCAGCCAATTAGACCCGTCTTTGTATCCCCATTTACGAGAATACTTCACCGTACGATCCTCTAAGACTCCCCCCAATGCTATGTTGTTTACGGCGGCCCTGCACGACGCCACATAAGAGGTCAAATTACCGTGAAAAATATTCCACTTTTATTACCTTTGCTTGCATGATGTACCAGCCTCCCCCATCTCGAGGGTTCTAAGACTGCGGCTGGGTTTCTAAGACTGTGGATGGGTTTCTATGACTGCGGTTGGTTTTCTTGGACTATGGAAGGATTTTTTTAAGGCTGTGGGTGGGTTTCTAACATTGCGGTTGGGGATTTAAGTTTTCTACTATTGTATATAATTCTTTGAAACCATCAGTTGGTTTCTAAGCAAGCACAGGTGATCCTTAGACTGTGAAGAGGTTCGAACATTGATGCAGTATTCTGAAACCATGCGGAGGTTTCTAAGCAAATTTGAGTTTGCCATACTGTGTACAAGTTTCTGTAACCACGAACAGGTTTCTAAACAAGTGACTGGGTTCGTACGATGATGGATATACTTTCTAAGGTTGTGTACCAGTTTCTGAAACCGCAAATGGGTTTCTAAACAAGTGATTAGATTTTCAAGACTGTACATAGGTTGATAAGTGCTTGCAAGGATTCGTTCTCTAATCAACTACTTTAAGAATTGGGAGATTAAGATGATTTAGATTAGATTAAATGAGGTTTTGATAGTTTGGGTAAGATGAGGTAATGTTTGGGTTGAGTTAAGTTAGATTAGGTTGGGTTAGGGCCCATTAGGACAGGAGGGAGGGGGTAGGGGGAGGGCGGTTTGACCAGTCACCAAGGATGTTAGGGTATGAAAGCGAGCGTAAACAAAGAGGGCAATTGAGCTGATGTGAGGACAGATGCCATCTTCTACGTACACAAACAAGTACAACCATCCACCAACACACACAGCTACACAAATACATGTATATAGCAGTAGTCTCTGTGTAGATAAAACGCTTGTACATAAGTGGGAATTAAGACACAGGTGGTGGTGTTATGGGCAGACGAAGAACGTAGGATTTTCAAAAATTCGTATGTGAAATTTTCCTCCTCGATGCAGTGGTAAGAACGCAATTACCCGGCTGATTTAAGCTAAAACATGCAACACCAAAATGGCTTCAAATTTACACAAAGACTACCTTAACTACTGTAGATATGATCTCTTAACACAAGCAAAGGGGGAGACACTCGACGTAAAAAATCTATATGAATCCGAAGGCTTGAGAACATCTAGCTATTGTGTCCAGTATTAGGAGTTTGTGGAGTCCTTATTCTGGCAATCTCAGAATCACCACCGTGGGCATCTGTTCCTCTTCCTCCTCCATGAGGTAATCAGTGGTTCTTCTTCTTAGGTCCTTCTACGGGATATGAGTTGGTGTCCTGCCCTTATGACGTGGCCCCAATTGATGACCTTCCCACTGACGGGGCCCCAGTTGACGTCTTTCCCTCTAAATTGACGACCCCCCCTCCCAGATGGTGCCATTCCCTTCTCCGTGGTGGCAGTTGGTAGAACCTAACTAGCTGGTGTGTCCTCGGTGAAAGAGTCTGGGTGTGAAGGGTGTCGTGTGCCTGAACGCTGGAGGTGGCAGACAGCAGCTCTCGCCCTTGACCCCTTCCCCCTCCAGCCAGCCTCTGACTCACCACCACAGCAGACAGACACCAGGCTCGCTCCCTCCCTCCCTCCCTCCTGCTGCTACTGGTGGAGGAGATGTACGACCCAAACACCGCCCCCTTCCCACCCCCTCCCTCCACCCTTCTCATCACCTTACGTCATTAATACTATTGTCGTTGACGCCGTTTTCCCCTTCCTCCACCGTCACGACCTCCATGAACACAACCACTAACATCAAACACAATCGCTATCACCATAATACAACAGCTATCACAATAAAAACTACCACTACCACCGTAATACAATCATTATCATCCAAAAAACAACCACTACCACCATGATACAATCATTTTCACCAAGAATACAGCCATTATCACCATAATAAAACCAATATCACCATAAGTATAACCACTATCACCATAAATAGTTATTACCACCTTCATCATCACTACCACCATCCCTCCCACACCAACTATCCCTATCACCACCACTACCTTACCACATTCAATTTCAGGTTGTTTTCAGATTTGCCCCGCAAGGGGGCTAGTTTATTGAACATCCCCGTTTACAGTGTCCAACATTCAATGCCATAATATCCTGACCACTGGGTTTTGTTATACACAACCTTTGAGACCTCTACTATTATCTTTTTTGCGCTACCGTTCACATAATGAGTATGGGGTGCGCAATAAACTAGCTGCTTCTCCGCGGCAAAGTTCAAATTCAAATTACTCCCCCCAACCACTACCACTCCTACCACTACTCCAACCACCATATATATAAATATATATATATATATATATATATATATATATATATATATATATATATATATATATATATATATATATATATATATAGTATTATATATATTATTATATGGTTATGAATTTTTTTATTGGAATGAAAAAAGTGCCAGATAAATTATATAATAAAATTAGTTAAATCGGCTGAATTCAAACTCATTAAGGAAGAGTGTGTGACCTGTAGGAGGACAAACCACCCACCCTCAGTCCTTACCACCCAGATGACAAAACAATGGTGCACCAAAACGATTACCACTCATGACGTGCACCACCACCACTGTTACCACTCATGACGTACACCACCACTCATAAGGAACACCACAACTGGCACCCCAACATCCGCCTCTCCACCCTTCCTTCCTCCTCTCTCTCCTTTCTCCTCCTATCTTGGTTCTCCATCTCTTCCAGCTTCCTATGACCCTTCCAACATTCTTTACTGACATTGATCAGATCATATTCCACCCAGCACACAGACACTGTACCCCACCACACAATTTCCTATACCCCGCCACGCCACCCCGCCCCGCCACCTGTATCAAGTGGACAAAAACCCACTAGTTCAGGTTTCTTACGTCCTAATACTCTGTTAGGTTAGGTTAGGGTAGGTTATATTCAGGTTAGGTTAGGTTTGGGGTGGATTGGGTTAGTATGGGTTGGGTTAGGTTCGGTTAGGGTTGGGTATATTCAGGTTAGGTTTGGTTTGGGTTGGGTTGGGATAATAATGAATCTATATTTTAGGCTCCTCCCCATAGGCAGGCAGGCACCACCACTACTACCACCACCCCACTACTTCCATGATCACCACTCCCGTCAACAACACTTCCACCAATATCAACAACACTTCCACCAATATCAACAAAACTTCCACCAATATCAACAAAACTTCCACCAATATCAACAACACTTCCACCAATATCAACAAAACTTCCACCAATATCAACAACACTTCCACCAATATCAACAAAACTTCCACCAATATCAACAAAACTTCCACCAATATCAACAACACTTCCAACGCCAATTCCACCACTACCACCCCCCTTAATGATCATGTTTTTATTCCGCCAGCAGAGAAACCGAGGCAATTACCAACAAGCTGATAGACGATCTCCACAAATCTCCTCCTCGTGTCGGGTTGACGGGGCCAAGATAGCGATATACTCGGGATGGTTTGCCTGATATTAAAGTCGAGATGATGTTCTGCACTAAGCCAGTCTCGACGCTTGTTGACGCAGGAACGAACCAACTGAGACCTTGCTAGTGTGTCGCTATACCAACAGGTCAGGCATGGTATCAATCATGGTATTTATAATCATGGTGGCTGTACTGTAGGTATTTAGGATGTGCATGGCAGATGTTTACGTCATGCGTGAGACTAATGATCGAATGTACATGTTTATAGTGTAGTGTACATGGGACTATAAATATTAGTAAAAAGTTGTAGAGGAGGTCTTGCAGGGATAACTATTTCATACTGACTTTTGGGTGCGTAGTGAAAACCGTGTTAAAGATTTATGTAGTGTTGTACATCTCGGGTAACGATGAGGGAGGATCTACTCAACTTTACACCGTCAATATATTTACATTGGGTGAACATTATTTAGCCTCTCAGTTAAATCCTCAGATAATGAACCAATGTAATGGATACGAGTCATTAGGCTTCACGTATACTGTATAGTCATTTATAGGCATCACCAGACAGTGTTGAGTATAACGTAGTTGAGTACATGTGAGGAGGAGCATGTGAGGAGGAGGATGGAAGTGTTAGTAGAGTACATGTGAGGAGGATGGAAGTGTTAGTAGAGTACATGCGAGGAGGATGGAAGTGTTAGTAGAGTACATGTGAGGAGGATGGAAGTGTTAGTAGAGTACATGTGAGGAGGAGGGAAGTGTTAGTAGAGTACATGTGAGGAGGAGGGAAGTGTTAGTAGAGTACATGTGAGGAGGAGGGAAGTGTTAGTAGAGTACATGTGAGGAGGATGGAAGTGTTAGTAGAGTACATGTGAGGAGGATGGAAGTGTTAGTAGAGTACATGCGAGGAGGATGGAAGTGTTAGTAGAGTACATGTGAGGAGGATGGGAAGTGTTAGTAGAGTACATGTGAGGAGGAGGGAAGTGTTAGTAGAGTACATGTGAGGAGGAGGGAAGTGTTAGTAGAGTACATGTGAGGAGGAGGGAAGTGTTAGTAGAGTACATGTGAGGAGGATGGAAGTGTTAGTAGAGTACATGTGAGGAGGAGGGAAGTGTTAGTAGAGTACATGTGAGGAGGAGGGAAGTGTTAGTAGAGTACATGTGAGGAGGAGGGAAGTGTTAGTAGAGTACATGTGAGGAGGAGGGAAGTGTTAGTAGAGTACATGTGAGGAGGATGGAAGTGTTGTCATCAAGTAATATCAGCGACACAGTAGACCCTCATCAAGGGGAATTCCACACTTGATGCTGGTCGTCTGAGTCGAGTAGTTTGTTGACAGTAAATCTTAGGGGGAGTTGGGCCATGGTTGACAGTAAGATAGTCTCCTGCTCCAGCACTCCTCACTACTACACGCCCTCGCACACTCGATAACAACGCATCCATATTGGTTTTATCCATTTGATGTTTCTTCTTGATTATGCAAACAGACGTAACACGTTTGCCTCTCACCACAATTCAACATCAGCAACATCTCTTGGCTTATCACCTTAATATCTGTCAATCCATTTTTTACCTGGACTGATAAAAAGTTCCATTCTCTTTCAGCAGAACCCATCATCACTAAGAACCTTTACACAGAAGTGATAGGAAGATAGTGTGGCAGTGTGACTAAGCAGGACAGACACACTGTCAACTCTAACTTAGATATACTGTATTGTCAACAAGTTCACACGACCAGCATCAAGAGGTGCGGCAGACGACCAGCATCAGGAGGTGCGCCAGACGACCAGCATCAAGAGGTGCGGCAGACGACCAGCATCAGGAGGTGCGCCAGACGACCAGCATCGGGAGGTGCGCCAGACGATCAGTATCAAGAGGTGCGGCAGACGACCAGCATCAAGAGGTGCGGCAGACGACCAGCATCAAGAGGTGCGGCAGACGAGTGGGCACAACGCTTGCCAGCTGTGAACGAGTACTGGAGAAAGTGAAGGCGGTAGAGCATAGTGGCGGGCAGGCTGCCTATAATAGTTCACAGTGTGTTATATCAGCACTGCCCCCTAATGGGCCGCCAAGCTTACGAAGCCCATTTTCAATATTTCCTTCAACGGTGACCCCAGTTTTCCGTCACCTCATTAACCAGTAACCGCGCCTTATCTAAATGAGCTTTAACCTACGAATATGGGAGAGTCCGGACCAATTTTTACCCAAAATTAATTATTCAGAACACAATCAAGGCCAACATAAACGTCTTCGAATCCTCTTAGCACAAATAAAAGTATTTTAAGCCAATGAGCCCGTCAAGGAGCGGCTCCCAACATTCATTGACAAACATTGATACATAACCTCGTCACTCTCTCCAGTTACAGCAACTCTTGTCTAAGTACTGTACCAGATTTTTGAGGTATAATCCCGTATTGGCTGACCCATAACCCCCTCCTGACCGGCCAACACCCTAACAATTAGTTTCGCTAACCTCAGTCCCTCCTACTTATCCCGGGTAACATCTGCAGGTGCGGTAGCTGGACAGGACCATCACCTCCCTCCGTCGTCAAGATTCCCCCTCAAGACAACAGGTCCAGACACGGGTGTCTCAGCCGCACCACAGGAGGCAACTGATGGTGCTCGCCGACCCATGGAGCCAAGATAACCCTCAACAATGATGGCGTCTATTAACCTACTAAAGTGCGCAAACTTTCCACACGACTTGGCTCCCCACGTAAATATATTTCCACTGTAACCTTCCACGCGACAATGCATTATATATATACTTTTTCACTGTAATTTTCCATACAACTCTGATCCATACGCACAAATTGTTGAACTCTATTTTCATTTTTCTACAAAATTTTTAGTTCTCACGCTCACTCTTATAACTTTCAATGTTTTTTTCTACCGCATTCTAGTCTTCTATCCTTATATCCTTCTCTTCGCTGGCCAACAAGAGTCTGTGGAAAATCGTAGACAAAAGATGCTAAAAAATAATTTTCTTCAAGTGAGACGTAAGCTAGTTTGGGTGTTTGTTGATTTGAGTGTTTGCTGATTTTTTCTCTTCAATAAAAGTATTAGTACACAAAGAGTAAAATAAAGTCACAGATTAAAGGCAAGTTCAAAGGTTCAGAGTTGGTACGACACTGTTTTGAACCTCATGGACTAAAAACCCCAATGTGGACCCTCTGGACAAAAAATTAACGTGAACCTTATGGACTTAAAAAAACAACTGAACCCAAAAATTCGTTCAATGGGTTGCATCTGAAGTTAAAAATTGATGATACTCATTTATTTTTAAACCCTGTGACCTCAAATATCAATGTTTGACCACTAAGCTTCATTCAGGGTTCAACGATTGAGGTTCCAAGTTAGAATGGCAAGGATTTTTCTTCGTTTTATACACATGATGTAAACCTCGATCGAGTATAAAACTCCTTCACGTGAACAAAGGCTACTAAGGCTTTACCGAGGCCAGCTTTGTACCGTTGAATTGGTACACCGCGACTTACACTTGTCATTAGCGTCTGTCCTAGTCCTAAACAACACTGCACAACCACCTAGCCTCACTTCTTCCTGATTTATGTACTGTACAGCCCTGTAAATGTATTCAACGCATATCATTATGTCTAAATCAAATGTAAGTTTGTATATTTTCAGCCACCGGCTGCAACTCTATTAATAAACCGTTTATTATTATTATTATTTATTATTTCCACACCTTCATGGAAATGTATGTATGGACCCCACATTGTTATTTACGTGAGTAATTTTTTAGATGTAGGAGATGAACACACAACATCTACCTTCTCTCTGATGTGGAGACTTTGTTGGTGTCTCTACAGCGATAACAAGGAGAAGGGTCATGTGTATCCATTATGGTACAAAACAGGAAATTTCAATGCCTCTAATATTGTTCGACTGCACGTTACCATTATTGTCCGTGTGTGTAATAATAATAATAATAATAATAATAATAATAATAATAATAATAATAATAATAATAATAATAATAATAATAATAATATTAAACGGCTTATTAATCAAGTTGCAGCCGGTGGCTGAAAATATACAGACTTACATTTGTGTGTGTGTGTTCACTGGTGTTAAGAAAAAGTGTCAACGTGAAATTGTCTCTCAGAATTACTTTGTTGACATTGTGGACGTCATTGTTTTTTGTGCACTAGCTTCTAAGTGGACCAATTAGATGCGTTCTTACATCTCCAGTTATGATGAATATTTAACATTAGATGAATATTTAACGTAAGTAAGGACAATTTATCGCTAGCGGTGATAATTTAACGTACTCGCCTATGAAAATCCAAGTCCAGGACCCTCCATAAGAGTACATGTACTACCTTAACTAGCCTCGCTTGTACACTGCAATTTGTCCTTATAACTCGTAAGGTCCGAAATATACTAGGTCGACATTTTTTCTTTGCCTTGTATTGTCATCTTCACGCCTCATAAACTTTACAACAGATACATCACACACACACACACACACACACACAACTTGTAACACTTTACGACGATTCAAGTCTTATTAAAATTGTGAATTCGTAATAGTTCTTCTTTGCTGAGAGCAGCTTAGAGCATCAGATATCACGCCAGGGTATATTTGCTCTAAAACTTAGCTATCGAGCCATCAAAGCTTTTATTTTTGGATAATTCTTAGTCGCCTGAAGATCGGCCCCCACCAGTTTATTTCACCATAAGATTAAACAACAAACCTAATCTGATTTTATCTAACTTGACCTAACCACCCAATTAGCGTGTTATAAGGTGTAATAAGCTGGGAATCCTTATCTCCAAGTGATCCAAACCTTTGCTTGAATTTGCTTATGCTGCCTCTTGAGTTACTGGCATGCTATCGTTACTGTTGGATAGGTCACTAAGACGATTCTTTAATTATCTGCCATCTACACCTTATCTTTCACCTGCCATACAGCGTCCTCGTGAAGAGTAAAGTAAGAGGTACTGAGAGTGTAAAGACCTTCATCTGTTTTATGTAACGATGAGTGCTGGGTTAGTGAACACACACTTACTTTCTCACCTCCCACCCTACACACACACTACCTCACCGTCCACCCTTTTTCTCATCCACGCTCGAATACAGCTTAACTAATGCAGCCCCCCTACACGAATCTAATTAACCTTATAAAAGTAAGATATATCTCAGTACAGTAACTCTCGGGCTGGGCAAAATTAATCTCGACAACGCATTAGCAACTCTTAGAGACCCCATTGGAGATGGCAACTGTTTTTTTTTTTTTTTTTTGTAATTCTCACTGATAGCGGGTGACGATGTGGAGGTGTGACAACCTGTCGACTTCAATACTAGATAACGTTTTCACCGCCACTCACAGCTGTACCGGCAGAGGCTGGATGCTGAGGGTCTTGTAATACTTAGTGACGTACCGATTGATCTATAGCTCTGGAGCCTGTCAGGGGCTCTCCAGTATTCTAGGATCACTTGAAGATACCCCTCCCGCTACCCCCAGCTTACATCACTAAAGATTAATCAAACTAACACTATTGGGGGGTGGTGAGATTAGGATAGGATACGATAGGTTAGGATAAGATAAGTTAGCGTATTGTTTAATCCTCAGGTAAAATAAACTGGGGGGGGGGTATTCAGGTCACCCATAATCTGAACTCTTTAGGAAGTCTCGCGGACTGTCTGATTGACATATTGACTGACCGAATAACTTACTGACCAACTAACTGAAGAAACATTTGGAAAAGTTCAAGATGATTTAGTCACTTTTTTGTATCTTAACTGCAGCCCTCAACTTCAATGTTCCATTAACTTAAGGGGTCTCTAATTATAAGAGGTCTTCATGTTAGTACGATACTGTGTGTGTGTGTGTGTGTGTGTGTGTGTGCGCATGACTGATTGACACACACACAGTAAACTTATTACACATTCTCTCAATAACAAATTTACGACCTTTGAACCCCTGCTTGATTAACCCTCTTTTACCTCCCCTGTTCCTGCATCATCTTCCTAGGGAGGTTAGGTTAGACTGGGTTACGTTGGATGGGTTACGTTGGATGGGTTGGGTTAGGTTGGGTTGGATTAGCGTAAGGTTAGGCTAGGTTAGGTTAGGTTAGGCTGGCGTTAGGTTAGGCTGGCGTTAGGTTAGGCTGGCGTTAGGTTAGGTTGGCGTTAGGGTAGTTAATCATCAGGTGAAAAAGCTGAGAGGCTAATCTTCATAAATAATAATAATAATAATAATAATTAACGGTTTATTGAAAGAGCTTGGCAGCCAGAAGGCTGAAAATATACAGTTACATATTTGGGGAATGGGTTTCGAATTACAAATAATATACAAGTAACATAAGTGATACAAATAAGATATATAATAACTAGATGGGGAAAAGCTCAAACTACAGTGCTGCTCTTCTCGCCCCTCCACATGTGTTCCCTTCAGCGAGGATACTGTAGCGTCCCCGTCCCCCTGTGAGTCTCCCTCGTGTTTATAGAGGCAACAGCGTTAAGGCCTCCGTGACAGCTGACTCAGGGGTAGGGACGCAGCCGGTCTCTCCAAGTTTAGCCTATAATACAACATCCCCTACCAAACCTAGCCTAACCCGATTTGCCGTAATCTGACCAAACCTGACTTGACCTAACCTAACCTAACCTGATCTGACCCAAGTCAATACTGATCTGACCCAAGTCAATACTGATCTGGCCCAAGTCACTACTGATCTGGCCCAAGTCACTACTGATCTGGCCCAAGTCAATACTGATCTAACCGAAGTCAAAACTAATCTAACATAATCTAAGTAACCTAGTCATAATCTAGACTAATGGAAATAACCTCACCTATTGTAATTTGGTCATACAGCTTAGTAAGTATGTGGAGGGAGTCGCTCGCAGGGGAAGGTTAGGTTAGGTTATTTTGGGGTCTTTAGTGGGAAAGTTAGATTACCTTGGGTTAAGTTCGGTCTGGTTACTTAGCGTCTGTTGTCTTAATTATTCTACACACATGCCCCCAAAGAAAAAGAAAGAGAGAGAGACAGAGACAGAGAGAGAGAGAGAGAGAGAGAGAGAGAGAGCGCGAGAGAGAGAGTATTCCAAGTCAATATCAACAGCCTAATATATGATTCTACGCCACATATGAGCTGCCTTATAAAACACCTATAACGAATTTCGGCGTACAACTTTTTTTTAATATATTCCAAAATGTATTTTACGTCCTCGCTATTACGCTGGATTGTACCCCATGTTATTTATACTTAAACCTGGGATGTGTTTATCATGAGATACACACCCATGTCTCTTACTGTTGATATTGTACAACTTAAACCAACAATTTCTGACTAAAATAACTAAGCCATTAACAAAATGGCTAAAATAACAACTGCAACCAATAACTTTCTGACTAAAATAACTTTCTGGCTACAATAACTTCAACCAATAATTATGGCTAAAATAAAATATTTTTAGCTAAAATAGTAACTTAAATAACATTCTGGATTAAATCGCTTAAAAAGATCAACTTTCTGACAAAAATATATCGTCTCATCCGCCATTTCTCTATTACTAATCTTGCAGAACTTTATACCATTAACTGGGGTAGAAATAGACGCTCTTATTATTAATATTGTACAATTTCTATCAATATCTTTGTGACTATTACAACCTTGTCTTCTCTGCAATTTCAATTTTAATCAACAGATGGCGTTCTTCCTTTACAACGATGGCATTTGTTTATTTAAAGGTTTAAGGTTTGTGAGTGTTATGGCGGCGGCGGGTAGGTGTTGTTTTGGTTGGTGTTCGCGTTAGGTTGTCACTCCTCTCCTGTAACTTCACAACCATTGTTTCCTCTCCTCACTTCTTTTCTCCTCTCGAATGGATACGAATTTCCTAAACACTGACGTAAGTATTTGATATCTTATCTGTATATTATGTAGTTTTATCTACATATACATACATACATACATACATACATACATACATACATACACACTGTACATGTACATATATACACACGATGACTAGTGAGGCGTGTGAATGCAACACGAAAGGCCAAACCTTATCAATGTCATCAGCTTGACTCTCTCTCTCTCTCTCTCTCTCTCTCTCTCTCTCTCTCTCTCTCTCTCTCTCTCTCTCTCTTTTCTCTCTCTCTCTCCTTGAGATGCATTTTTCGTTTAAGATAGATATATAATTTTTCACCTCACCTCACCTAACCACCACTTCCTACCCCCACACTCCTGAAATTACTAATTTTCCGTATTGTGCTTGGGCCGAGTAAGAGACACTTCGGGAGTTAATTACAGGTGAGAGAGAGAAAGAGAAAGAAAGAGAGAGAGAGATCAAAGGGTTAGTGTTTTAAGGTGGCGTAGCTCTGACCCCCCATCGACAGCGAGCCATTGTTCCGGAATATGACTTGAAGGGTAGGTGAATGAGACAAGGAATACCCCTCTCTGAATTTTAATTAACGTGAACAAGACGAAACACAATGTATTCTGATACCCCCTACCTACCGACTCAAAAGTTCTTCTGGTGAATTTCCCTCTCGTATGTGAAAATGTGTGAGTGCATTCTAACTAGATAATTTAACAGGAGAAAAAAGTCGAATAGTGGCATTAAAACTGTACCAAGACGTATATACTAATTACGGGAAGGAAAAGTCGGAACACCTTAAC